CCCAGCACAACCACCCCCCAGCACGACCACCCCCCCAGCACGACCACACCCCAGCACGACCACCCCCCAGCACGACCACACCCCAGCACGACCACTCCCCAGCACGACCACACCGCCTTGGTTGAGTGGTTGCCTGTCGTCGTGGAATGGTTCGTGGGGTGTCTCGTGGAATGTTTCGCGGGGTGTCTCGTGAAATGTTTCGTGAGGTGTCTCGTGGAATGTTTCGTGAGGTGTCTCGTGGGCTGTTTCGTGAGGTGTCTCGTGGGATGTTTCGTGAGGTGTTGCCCAGTTGGGTATCATGAAAACGTGTCCATGCTCCACATGTCTATATCCCTTTCCGGGTTCGTGGTCCATCATGTTGAAATCCCGATCGATAAATCACAGGGTGCGGGACACTTTTTCGTGCGTTGAGGATGTCTCGAGCGAAACGCTTGCTCCGCAGAGTTTGCCGAGGATGTCTCGAGCGAAACGCTTGCTTTGCAGAGCCGACCGCGACGCGGAAAAGCGCCCCGCGCGAAGGAATTTCGATGATGTTTCGACTAATTTGTTTGTTGTTGTACGATTTCCTGGAATTTTGGCAGGATGTCTCGAGCGAAATGCACGACCCCACCCTAGCACGACCATACCCCAGCACGACCACACCCCAGCACGAACAGACCCCAGCACGACCCCACCCCAGCACGACCCCACCCCAGCACGACCATACCCCAGCACGACCACACCCCAGCACGACCCGACCCCAGCACGACCCTACCCCAGCAAGACCACACCCCAGCACGACCACACCCCAGCACGACCACACCCCAGCACGACCCCACCCCAGCACGACCACGCACCAGCACGACCACGCCCCAGCACGACCACGCCCCAGCGCGCTCTCTTGCCGCACGGATCACCCCCAGCACACCCACCCCCAGCACGCCCCACCACCCAGCACGACCACACCCCACCACGACCATCCCCCGCACGATCACACCCCAGACGACCACACCCAGCACGACCACACCCCAGCACGCCACACCCCAGCACGACCAAACCCCAGCCACGACCCGATCGATAAATCACAGGGTGCGGAGCACCCAGCACGAACCCACCCCAGCACGACCCCACCCCAGCACGACCCCACCCCAGCACGACCACGCCCCAGCACGACCACACCCCAGCACGACCACACCCCAGCACGACCACTCCCCAGCACGACCCCACCCCAGCACGACCCCACCCTAGCACGACCACACCCCAGCACGACCACACCCCAGCACGACCCCACCCCAGCACGATCACACCCCAGCACGACCCCACCCCAGCAAGAACACACCCCCGCACGACCGCACCCAGCACGACCTTACCACACACGACCACACCCCAGCACGACCACGCCCCAGCACGACCACGCCCCAGCACGACCACGCACCAGACGACCACGCCCCAGCACGACCAGCCCAGCACCACCCACCCCCCAGCACGACCACCCCCCAGCACGACCACCCCCCAGCACGACCACCCCCAGCCGACCACACCCCAGCACGACCATCCCAGGCACGCCCAACACCCGCCTTGGTTGAGTGGTTGCCGTCGTCGTGGATGGTCGTGGGGTGTCGTGGAAGTTTCGCGGGGTGTCTCGTAAGTTTCGTGAGGTGTCTAGTGGAATGTTTCGTGAGGTGTCTCGTGGGCTGTTTCGTGAGGTGTCTCGTGGGATGTTTCGTGAGGTGTTGCCCAGTTGGGTATCATGAAAACGTGTCCATGCTCCACATGTCTATATCCCTTTCCGGGTTCGTGGGTCCATCATGTAGTAGGTAAACCTGTCCCCCGGTGCCAACTTGAGGGAGGCCGGCGAATTTTTTCCCTGATAAATAACGAGGTCGAAGGAGGACGGCGAATTAAAATTTGAGGATGTCTCGAGCGAAACGCTTGTTTTGAAAATCCGATCGATAAATCACAGGGGCGCGGCCACTTCAAGTTGTGTGAGATGTCTCGAGCGAAACGCTTGCTCCGCAGAGTTTGCCGGAGGATGTCTCGAGCGAAACGCTTGTTTTGCAGAGCCGACCGCGACGCGGAAAAGCGCCCCGCGCGAAGGAATTTCGATGATGTCTTGACTAATTCCTTTGTTTTTGTACGATTTCCTGGAATTTTTGCAGGATGTCTCGAGCGAAATGCACGACCCCACCCTAGCACGACCATACCCCAGCACGACCACACCCCAGCACGACCAGACCCCAGCACGACCCCACCCCAGCACGACCCCACCCCAGCACGACCATACCCCAGCACGACCACACCCCAGCACGACCCGACCCAGCACGACCCTACCCCAGCAAGACCACACCCCAGCACGACCACACCCCAGCACGACCTCACCACAGCACGACCACACCCCAGCAAGACCACGCCCCAGCACGACCACGCCCCAGCACGACCACCCCCCAGCACGACCACACCCCAGCACGACCACACCCCAGCACGACCACACCCCAGCACGGACCAGCCCCAGCAGACCACACCCCAGACGACCACTCCCAGCAAGACCACACAGCACGACCCACACCCCAGCACGACCACCACCCCAGCACGACCACACCCAGCACGGACACCCCCCCAGCCCGACCCCACCCAGCACGACCCCACCCTAGCAAGACCACACCCCAGCACGACCACACCCCAGCACGACCTCACCACAGCACGACCACACCCCAGCACGACCATGCCCCAGCACGACCACGCCCCAGCACGACCACGCCCCAGCACAACCACCCCCCAGCACGACCACCCCCCCAGCACGACCACACCCCAGCACGACCACCCCCAGCACGACCACACCCCAGCACGACCACTCCCCAGCACGACCACACCGCCTTGGTTGAGTGGTTGCCTGTCGTCGTGGAATGTTTCGTGGGGTGTCTCGTGGAAAGTTTCGCGGGGTGTCTCCTGGAATGTTTCGTGAGGTGTCTCGCGGAATGTTTCGTGAGGTGTCTCGTGGGATGTTTCGTGAGGTGTCTCGTGGGATGTTTCGTGAGGTGTTGCCCCGTTGGGTATCGTGAAAACGTGCCCATGCTCCACATGTCTATATCCCTTTCCGGGTTCGTGGGTCCATCATGTTGTCAATCCGGGCGAAGTTCCTCGATATCGGCCTCTAGGGCCAGTCATCGGGCCCCAGAACCAGCCAACACGGATCCGGGGTGCAAAACTACCCCTGGGGAAGGGGTTGGGACCTCTGGGGCCCTGGACTGAGGAGATCACATCGGGGGATGTCAGGGGCGGCATCGACACCCCCGCCGAGCACGCGAGAGACAGACGCTGGCTGGCCACACGGGCACGGAAGGTTTGCGCACGTGCGCCGCGCGTACTCCGGCACGCGTGCACCGGATACGAGAACGGCGCGCACGCACCGCACGATGTCTGGACTCCGTTCAGATTCCGCCCGGGCGCGGCACCGTGCATCGCTGTCTTGCTCTGGGGGCCAGAAGAGCTATGCACCGCACCACTCCTGAGTCGACGAGGGTCGACGACGCCTCGAGAGGCGCCAACGCGGTACGGTGCACCTAAAACGGGGGTTGGATCGGGATAAATCGCTCCAGAGCGTTCCAGAGCGCTCTCAGAGCGTTCCGGAACGCTCTGGAGCGGCCGCGGCGCCCAACACATCCTCCAAACCCGCCGATTCTCGGAGATTCCGAGTTATCCCGATCCGATTTTGTCCCGATCTTCGCGTCGTTTTGTGCACACACGTCGCCCGCGGGCATGGGCGGCCCCCGCTCCCGAGGAGCGCCTCCCCGACCCGCATGGCGGGCGCGGTGCCGTCCGGCTCCCACCAGTGCCACCACGCGGCCCGCGCCTGGAGCGGTGCGGGGGGCGAGGGAGGGGCGGGTGGCGAGCGGGGAGCGGGGGCGAGCTCGCGTCGCGAGAAAGACAGGACGGAGGCGTGTCACCCTGCTCGGCCTCTGGGGGCCATCGTTGGGCCCCGGGACCGCGGAGAGTTCCAGCGGGACGGAAAGCTGGCCCCGAGGAGAGGGTCGGGGCTTCTGGGAGGGGCCGCAGTCAAGGGAACACCAGATGTCGGATGTGTCTGGGTGTGGACGATCCTGGGCGCCTGAAGCCCCCCATGCGCAGTTGCTCGGCCCAGGCGCTGGCAGGGAACGAGGCGGGTGGCCCCCCGTCACGTCTGCGTCAACGGGCACTTCGTGGCCTGATGAACCAGTTCAGGCACGAATGGTACTGAACACAAGTCAATCTTGAAACGAGTGGCTCTGAATATGCGTGAATCCGCCGACCCTGTCGACGTGTGAGGGTTTTTTCCCGGAAAGGGCTCCGGCCCAGGGTTCTCTTTTAGTAGGTAAACCTGTCCCCCGGTGCCAACTTGAGGGAGGCCGGCGAATTTTTTCCCTGATAAATAACGAGGTCGAAGGAGGCCGGCGAATTAAAATTTGAGGATGTCTCGAGCGAAACGCTTGTTTTTCAGAATTCTTGAGGATGTCTCGAGCGAAACGCTGGTTTTGCAGAGTTGAGGATGTCTCGAGCGAAACGCTTGCTCCGCAGAGTTTGCCGAGGATGTCTCGAGCGAAACGCTTGTTTTGCAGAGCCGACCGCGACGCGAAAAAGCGCCCCGCGCGAAGGAATTTCGATGATGTCTCGACTAATTCGTTTGTTTTTGTACGATTTCCTGGAATTTTGGCAGGATGTCTCGAGCGAAATGCACGACCCCACCCTAGCACGACCATACCCCAGCACGACCACACCCCAGCACGACCAGACCCCAGCACGACCCCACCCCAGCACGACCCCACCCCAGCACGACCATACCCCAGCACGACCACACCCCAGCACGACCCGACCCCAGCACGACCCTACCCCAGCAAGACCACACCCCAGCACGACCACACCCCAGCACGACCTCACCACAGCACGACCACACCCCAGCACGACCACGCCCCAGCACGACCACGCCCCAGCACGACCACGCCGCCCACCCCCAGCACGACCACACCCCAGCCAACGACCACCCCCCAGCACGACCACACCCCAGCACGACCCACCCCAGCACGACCACGACCACCCCCCAGCACGCCACCCCCCCAGCAGACCACCCCCCAGCACGACCACCCCAGTCGCAACCCCCGTGGAATTTTCGTGGCGGTCTGGTTGATCGGTTGCCTGTCGTGGGGTGTCTCGTGAAATGTTTCGTGAGGTGTCTCGTGGAATGTTTCGCGGGGTGGCACGACCACGCCACCAGCACGACCACCCCCCCAGCACGACCACCCCCCAGCACGCAGGCACGACCACCCCCCAGCACGACCACACCCCAGCACGACCACTCCCCAGCACGACCACACCCCAGCACGACCACACCCCAGCACGACCACACCCAGTCGCACCCCCGTGGAATGTTTCGTGGCGTGTCTGGTTGAGTGGTTGCCTGTTCGTGGGGTGTCTCGTGGAATGTTTCACGGGGTGTCTCGTGGAATGTTTCGTGAGGTGTCTCGTGGAATGTTTCGTGAGGTGTCTCGTGGGATGTTTCGCGGGGTGTCTCGTGGGATGTTTCGTGAGATGTCGCCCAGTTGGGTATCGTGAAAACGTGACCATGCTGCACATGTCTTTATCCCTTTCCGGGTTCGTGGGTCCATCATGTTCTGTTCGAGTCTGGCGCCAGAGAAAACCGCAGACACGAGCCGAAGCGTTCTCCCTCTGGCTGGAATCTGCAGCCTTGGCTTGCAGTGCCCTTCTCTCTGGGGCCCTGACCCCGGAGAGGCTCTCAGAGGCCAGACGGGTAGGGGGGGCGCCGGGCCGCGAGCTGCTGCGAGACGGCACTGCTTGGTCCTTGCTCCCCCCTCCTCTGCATGCATGGCTGGATTCGAAGCATCGTGCTCGACCGCGCACACGAGTGCACGCGCGGAGAGTTGTCCGACCGCGCAGTGCCAACGGCACTGCTGCAGGCACGGGACTGCCGGACGCTCGCTATCCTACATCTCCGCCTGCTGCGCTCGGGGCCGTTGTATCCTCACCCTGCTCATCCTTGTGCTCGACATCGTCCTCGTCCTTCTCTCCACACCGCCTCTTCCCCCATACTGACCCTTCTCATCCTCCTCACCACCGCAATCATCATCCTCATCATCCTCGCCATCGTCATCATGAGGTCAGTACTCGCCTCATTCATCAACTGTCCAGATCCTGTAAAGTCAACCTCCTCCTCCTCCTCATCCTCCTCCTCATCATCATCAGCATCATCGTCATCATCATCAGCATCATCGCCATCATCAGAATCAGCATCAGCATCAGCATCAGCATTATCATCAACAACAAAATTATAGGCAGCAGCAACATCATCATCAGTAGCACAATCCCCTATCAGCATCGTCATCATCATCAGCATCATCACCACCACCAACACCATCATCATCATCATCATCATCATCATCATCATCATCATCATCATCATCATCATCATCAGCATCATCATCTATCATCATCAGCATCATCATCAGCATCAACACAACCACCATCATCACCATCATCAGCATCATCATCAGCAGTATCACCATCATCGTCATCGTCATCAGCATCATCATCACCATGATCACCATCATCGTCATCATCAGCATCGTCATCATCATATGTGTCGTCTTCATCGGCATCGTCAGTATCATTATCATCAGCAGCATCATCAGCATCATCTGCATCATCGTCAGTATCGTCATGATCGTCTTCATCGTCATCATCGTCATCGACGTCGTCGCCATCATCATCATCACCATCACCACCACCGTCATCATCATCATCATCATCATCAGCATCATCATCATCATCATCATCATCATCATCACCATCACCATCATCATCACCATGATCAGCATCACCATCCTCGTCCTCAGCCTCATCACTATCGCCATCACCATCACCATCACCATTACCATCACCATCAACATCACCACCAAACATATCCATACCATAAGCATCGCCATCACCACCATCATTACCAGCAATACCAACAATATCGATGTCCGCATCCACACCCAGATCTACATCCACATCCGCGTTCTCCTCCACCTCCTCATCCTCCTCCTGCTCTTCTTCACATCATCCTGCCCCCCCCTTCGGGGGCGTCAAAGAGAGGGGCGTCCAAGAGGGGGGGGCGCGAATCATGGCCAGCGGCATGTGCGCGGCCCCGCGCGGCCCCCGGGGGGAGGGGGCCAGGACGCACTGAAATAAGACGAGGCGCCGTGAAATCTGGGGAGATCTCGTGGCTCCCGCCATGGTATCCACCCCCCCCTCCCCTGGTCATCACCCCCCTCTTGGCCGCCCCCGACAACCCTGAAGGGGCCCTGGGACACACAAACAAATACACACAACTAACAGGATTCCCCAGATGTTCCCATGTTTTCTATGCTCATGTCTTCCCCCCCACTTCCCCTATTTTCCCATATGTTCTGGGGGTCGACGATTAATTGTGTCTGTGTTTTTCCCGGAAAGGGCTCGAGCCCAGGGTTCTCTTTTAGTTGGTAAACCTAATCCCCCGGTGCCAACTTGAAGGAGGCCGGCGGATTTTTTCCCTGATAAATAACGAGGTCGAAGGAGGCCGGCGGATTAAAATTTGAGGATGTCTCGAGCGAAACGCTTGTTTTTCAGAATTTGTTGAGGATGTCTCGAGCGAAACGCTGGTTTTGCAGAGTTGGGGATGTCTCGAGCGAAACGCTTGGTTTCAGAATTTGTTGAGGATGTCTCGAGCGAAACGCTGGTTTTGCAGAGCCGACCGCGACACGGAAAAGCGCTCCTCGCGCAGGAATTCCGAGGATGTCTCGACTAATTCGTTTGTTTTTGTACGATTTCCTGGAATTTTGGCAGGATGTCTCGAGCGAAATGCACGACCCCACCCTAGCACGACCATACCCCAGCACGACCACACCCCAGCACGACCAGACCCCAGCACGACCCCACCCCAGCACGACCCCACCCCAGCACGACCATACCCCAGCACGACCACACCCCAGCACGACCCGACCCCAGCACGACCCTACCCCAGCAAGACCACACCCCAGCACGACCACACCCCAGCACGACCTCACCACAGCACGACCACGCCCCAGCACGACCACGCCCCAGCACGACCACGCCCCAGCACGACCAGCACCCACACGCCCCAGCACGACCACCCCCCAGCACGACCACCCCCCAGCACGACCACACCCCAGCACGACCACTCCCCAGCACGACCACACCCCAGCACGACCACACCCCAGCACGACCACACCCAGTCGCACCCCCGTGGAATGTTTCGTGGCGTGTCTGGTTGAGTGGTTGCCTGTTCGTGGGGTGTCTCGTGGACTGTTTCACGGGGTGTCGCGTGGAATGTTTCGTGAGGTGTCTCGTGGAATGTTTCGTGAGGTGTCTCGTGGGATGTTTCGCGGGGTGTCTCGTGGGATGTTTCGTGGGATGTCGCCCAGTTGGGTATCGTGAAAACGTGACCATGCTGCACATGTCTTTATCCCTTTCCGGGTTCGTGGGTCCATCATGTTTCCCCTCCTGAACCCCCCCCCCTGATGCTCCTCCTGCAGGGCTCGCAAGGCAGGGGCGCCTCGTAGCTGGAGCCCGTCGCGCCCAGGCGGGACAGGAAGTGCTCGGGCGGGCGTCGGCGGCAGAGCTCCAGGCCCTC